CAGTCCATCAGCAATCACAGCTGTAGACCATGCAGTGGTTACTGCCCTACAACTGGAGTTTCTGGTCAACTTAGTGACCAGAAAAGAAAATAATCGCATCCTTGGTAAAGAACGGAGTGGCTCATCCAGGAGCTTACGTGGCTGTGGATGTTCTGGCCTGAGCGTGACCATTTCCAGCAAGACATTCTGGATCCTCAGAGCTGAGGAAGGAGCAGACACTATTTTTATAACTTCTGAAACCTAACAGAAATCTACGTGTGCCTACAGTGATGTGTACCTGTAAATGCAAAATGTATTTGCCTTTGATTTGAATGACATAAGCTACCTGTGGGCACCTCAGTTATCCCATGCCCATCAGAAAGCTCCTTTTGGCACTTAAGTGTCTAAGAAAATATTGACAAGTGAATTATTATAATTGCTATTCTTTGAGATGGGGCCTTGTTCTTTCACCCGGGCTGGAGTGCAGTAGCATGATCTCAGCTCACTGCAACCACTGTCTCCCATGCTCAGGTGAACATCTGGGCTGCCTCATCTTAGATAGATCTTTTATTTATTTATTTATTTTTTTGAGACTGAGTCTCTATCGCCCAGCCTGGAGTGCAATGGCGCGATCTAGGCTCACTGCAACCTCTGGCTCCCAGGTTCAAGTGATTCTCCTGCCTCAGCCTCCCGAGTAGCTAAAATTACAGGCACACGTCACCATGCCCAATTAATTTTTGTATTTTTGGTAGAGACGGGGTTTCACCATGTTGGCCAGGCTGGTCTCGAACTCCTGACCTCAGGTGATCCGCCCGCCTCAGCCTCCCAAAGTGCTGGGATTAAAGGTGTGAGCCACTGCACCTGCCCTGTAGATCATTTTAAGAAATCAATGTACCTTTTTCACTCACAAGAGGGAGGCTCTTGTGATCCTTCCACCGCCACCTCCTATAGCTGGGACCACAGGCGCATACCACCACATCTGGCTAATTTTATTTTATTTTCTGTGTTCTTAGTAGAGACGAGGTCTTGCCATGTTGCCCAGGCTGAAATTATTAAGGCAGGTAAAATCTTTCAAAATAAGGAGTTTTGTGGGGGGAAAAATGTATGTTGATTCCTTAAAATGGTTTCCATATGGGGCACCCCCTATGTTTGGATAGCCAGGGCATTATTCAAAACTTGAGAACTTGAGAACAAGGATTCAAATCCCAAAGACTTTAAGTTTCTCATAAAAGTGTTGAGTGATAAAATAAATTTAGCATCCCAGTTTTGAACGGCCAGAGGATAATGTCCACTTCTCTTACCAAGAAATGACCTTTATTGAAATGAGTCCCCCGCACCAGAAGGTGTGCTTTTTAGACTTTTTAGACTATGGAGCCTAAAAGCCTAATAACCTGAGGCAATTGCATTGGCCTGTCAGGAATTTGGCTTAACATGTCCGGGCTTTCCTTTTACCCGGCGTCTTTGTTGCTGTGTATTGACCCATTTTTTTCCTTACGCTAAAGCTTGTGCAGTTGGGGCAGGACCACGCTACCCCAGCAGGTAGGATGCCCGTGTCCCCTTGAACACTGGCTGGACAGCATTTGGTTCTCTCTCCAGGCAGCTCAACACAATGGCTTGGACCTATCCTTCCACAAGAAGAGTTGGTTTAGACCAACCACCACTTTCTGATTTAACCTTAGTCTGGACCTGGTTGTCCAGTTGAATAGATTCTAATGTAACTGCTCATCAGAACAACCTTTGTACCTGCATAAAAATGACTTATGTGGCAATTTGACAAGCTCTGCAAAGATTGATGGTCCCTGGTGGCTGTCAGAGGCTGTTTCTCATGCTGATGAAACAGGCTAGGAGTCTTCTACCATCTCATTTCCGACTTTTCTTGAGTGGGATGATACAAATTGGAGAGCTCCAGCTACAGGAAGGTACATGTTTCTCTAATGCAAATTAGCATGGGCCCACAGTGCATGAAGCAGGAATTAGGATCACACAAATCTGGGTTTGAATTCTGGCTCTATGACTTAGCTTCGTAACTTCGATCATGCTACTCAGTTTTTCATTTTTAAAATGTGAGCAGTACTGGCCTTGCAAGATTGTATGAGGATTAAATGAACTAATATAATAGAATTAGCAAAGTGCCAAGTATAGTTACACAATCAGGTTGAGAGATGGAGTGATGGTCAAAGCTTTTGCAAAAGCAATATGGAGGTGAATTGCCCACTTTAGGAGAAGCCACTATGTTCGTCTTTCACAGGAAGTGTTTTTGACTTTTCCATCTTTCTACCTGAGAAGGAGAGTGGTGAATCAGAATATGGAGCATGGCTTTGGTGCCAGGTGGATGGGGTATGGATGTTGGTCATACTTGCTAGTCTTGTATGTTTATGAATTACATGGCTTTCTGTACCTGGTTCCTCAGGCCCAGGCTCTCAGAGCTGTTGTGAGGAATAGCATGGATGCACGTGCAGTGCCCTGCACTGTGCCTGACACACAGGAGGGACTCATGAATGACATCATTGTACCCATGGAGTCCTGGTCTGTAGTCCTAGTGTTGTAGAATAACTGTTTGTGGAAGGAATGGATGAAGTGACAGTCTTATACATGGAAGTGTGTATGTAAAGGCAGGCTTTACAACTCAGTGGAAGGTTTAAAAGAGTAGACGTCTGGCCGGGTGCGGTGGCTCATGCTGGTAATCCCAGCACTTTGGGAGGCCAAGGTGCACAGATCACGAGGTCAGGAGTTCAAGACCAGCCTGGCCAACATGGTGAAACCCTGTCTCTACTAAAAATACAAAAATTAGCTGGGTGTGGTGGCACGTGCCTGGAATTCCAGCTACTTGGGAGGCTGAGGGAGGAAAATCGCTTGAACCAGGGAGTCAGAGGTTGCAGTGAGCCAAGATTGCACCACTGCACTCCAGCCTGGCAACAGAGCAAGACTCCATCTCAAAAAAATAAAAATAAAAAAAGAGTGGATATCTTATAAGGCTTTATAGGTGGTATTTTTTAAGATTTGGCACTATATCTGAAGCTTAATTTATTGTCAAATAAATATGACAACTACATTATCCTTTCCTGCCAGTTATACGTGTAAGGTTGTTGATTAATTTTATAACGGAGAACACAGATTGAGTTTTAAGATATTGAATAATTTCACAGGAGAAAGTAAATGACTATTTTCCTACATTTGGGAAAGTGAAAATATATTTTAAAACCTTGAATATATCCTTAAGCACAGTTAAGCAAAAGGGGAAAGAATTAAAATAAACAAATTTGTAAATGGATGTGAAAAGAATAGTTGTGGCAGGAAATGTGTGGCATAAACGACCAGTTACACACAGGTTCATGTGATCTCATGAGAAAGTTAATCACTCAGGACCAAAGTTAACAGTTCTTATCAGAACTTATCTTGAACGAGTTTGTCCTCATCATTTCTCCATTATCTATACTAAAGGATTATAAATCCATTTTAATTAAAAGTAGTGAACAACACTTTCTTATACCACATCAATAAGCATAACACCATTAGTACAACTTTGACACTTTCGAATTAAAAAACGATCCAGCATGAACAAGAGGTGAATGAAGCTGATAACCATCTGGTGCATTTAGGTTATATGCTCAGTTTGGGTGAATTCGGTCTCAAGATGGATTTTGTACTCTCTTGCAGTATTAGCTGTTCACGGCCAGCGTTCACCAGATAATTGTTAAATCTGCACTTTCCTTCTTTATAGACTTGGACTTGCTGTTCCAATAAAGCAAAAATCTCATGCACATGTATAGTCACATTTGAAATATCACAACTTTTAAGTGGGTAAAATCAGAGTTAAGACAGTCTCTGAATCAGAAGAGTCAATGACGTTTAGATGTTTGCAGTCTGCTTTTTTCTCAACTGAAGCCCCTTAACATTACAATTTGAATTCAGCCAGATACATTGGAATCTTGTTGAATTTTTTTTCTTTCAGAAAAGCAACTTATGTGTGCCAACTAATGCTTCAAGGAAAGTGTCCTGATTCTCTTAGAAATATGCCAAGGAATTCTGGTAGAATAGGGACTCCTTTTTTTTTTTTCTTTTTCTTTTTTTTTTTGAGACCAGGTATCCCTCTGTTACCCAAGCTGGAGTGTAATGGCGTGATCTCTGCTCACTGCAACCTCCGCCTCCCGGGTTCAAAGATTCCTGTGCCTCAGCCTCCTAAGTAGCTGGGACTACAGACATCACCTTGCGTGGCTAATTTTTGTATTTTTAGTAGTAATGGGGTTTCACCATGTTGGCCAAGCTGGTCTCGAACTCCTGACCTCAAGTGATCCACCCGTATCAGCCTCCCGAAGTGCTGGGATTACAGGCATGAGCCACCACACCTGGCCTGCATTCATCTTAATGCAAGAAGAGAATCTGTGCATTTTAAAGTAGTGATCCCCTCTAAATGTGTCCTTTTAAACATTTTCCCTGTCTTTGCAGTATATCATGTATGAAATGGCTCATGTTTTTAGATAAAAATAAATCAAATAGGCATTAACTCTTTTTGCACTGAAGAAATCTTTCAGTGCCTATAGTTGTGCCACTGAAGTGTCAGAAGAGATCTAAAATCATGTATTAGGTCTGGAAGAGACCTGAGGGGTCATCTGGTCAACCAGCTTATTTTACAAATGAGACACAGGCTGGCAGCTCGCCCACAGCCTGTCTGTCACACAGGGAGTGGGTGGTACACACACGACGATACCTCAGGCTTCTTTCCAATTTCAGCTGCCCTCAGTTTTCCATTTCATTTGGCAGTTGTACATTTTGGCATTTGCTGTATTCACACATTTTGGTTTGTAGGAAATTACTAAGTTTTAATGTATGAACGATTGAGGTGAAGGCAGAATATTGTCACAGAAACACTTGATGGATAGTTTTGCTCCTCTGCTTAAGTCTGATGGAAACACTTGAAATAAAATTGACTTTAACTTAGTAGTCCCTTTTTCTCATAACCAAAAATGAAGTCCCCGACTATGTAACCAACTGTCTCATAGCAAATGTTTCTGACCTTTTAGAACAGAAGAATCCATAACAGAAGATGACAAGAGGAGGTATGTTTGGTGTTGCAGCTGGCTTTAGTTTGAATGGTTTTGGCCATACCTCATGAATTTAACACACTGTAGCACATTCCCAATAACACAGATTCCTCCAGGAAAACTATTGGCACAGAGAATACAGGTAGGGGCATATGGTCTGAAAAAGAACTTGCCCAGGATTCATCATCTTTCCTCCTTCCAAGCAAACTTGGTTTTTGTTCTATGCATGTGGCATGTGCTAATTTTCATCCTACGACGTTTGGGTGTGCTCTTCTCCCTAACTGGACGGCTTCCCTTCATTCTCTCAGCCTTCCCTGTCCTGCTACTTCTCTGATTAACTGCACTCCACCCTCATTTCTCTCTTGCTCTCTCTGCCCTCATTTTATATCTCCCTATTAGTAAGATATCTTTGTGTGTCCATAATGCCTATTGTCATACCATGTTGACCACTCTGAATTCTTGATAAATGTTAACTGTAACATGTCACTGTATAATATTTAATACTATACTAAATTGTAACATCCCAAATTCTTTTCTTCTTTCTCATTACAAGTAAAATATCTAAAAATTCTAACGCAATACATCTTTCTTTTTTTTTAAAATAGCTTCTTTTTAACCTAGGAAACCAATTATATTCCCAAGGGCCATAATATTCTAGATTCTACTTTTGAAAAACCATGAGCTATTTTAATAATTATGTAATTGTTTGGAGTACTCCATGCTTCTGTTGCTTACTGTAAATAGATAGTACCATTTAAATTGGTTTGATTTCTTTTATCAAGAAACTATGGAGGAGTATATGTTGGCCTACCATCTGAAGCTGTCAATATGGTGTCCAGTCAAACAAAGACAGTCCGGAAAAGTAAGTGAAATCATGTGCTACTGATTTTCCGTTCTTATTTATTTTTGTGTTTTATGAAAAAGCATGAAATTTGTATTTCGGCTTGCTTGACTCAATCTATGTATTGGCTATAGTGAACCACGTATAAGTACTGTCTGTTCATTGCAGTCATTGGTTGAAATGGCTACCCACATGGTAAGAAGAATTCCAGAGCATAATTTAGCTTTTATTTGTGGTTATGCTCCATATTTTTAATTTCTTGTTAATTTTAGTGATGATCAGTGTGAAAATGAAAGCTAATATTTATGTAAGTTTATGGCGTTTTCATAGAACAGAAAGGTAAATTTCTGTAATATAAGATGACTGACTGATAAGCAATCTACTGTTTAAAGGAAAAGTAATTGCCTATTGCATAATTAAATGAAATGAGGCTCCATTTTCTGAGTTTTAATAGTTAGCAATTATGGGGCCAATGAAGTCCTTTTGACTGATAGGCACCTTTTGATTGATTGATAGCTTCTTGCTCAAGGCAGTTTTTAAGTGAGGCTCATGGTAAACAATGCTGATTTACAAAACCACTGTACAAGGTATTGTCTGATGTATAGTTTTAAATGACTATTAATATGTTTGCTTTATACTCAAGGCTATATTACATTATTTTTAACATACTATATTTGTTCCTCATTGTTCTTCCCATACTTTGTGATTTAGACTAGCAAATACTTATATGTCATTACTGTTTACAGTTCTATAGAAAATTAGAATATGTTATTTATAATCTGAACATTGAACTTTTCTTAATTTTCTCTTTAAGATTAGAAGAAAATAACATCATGACTCAAGAATCAAGAGGTAGTGTGTATTTTTCTAAATAATTCTATATATTTAGACTTGTTGATGAATGGACTGTAGATATTATTTGCTCTATCTAAGAAATCCTGAACTGAACTTCACAATTTAAGGAAGGGGTTTCATCCTATAGAATTGAGTGTGTTTTATTGCAAAGAGGTGAATAATCAGATCAATTTTCTTTCATCTACTTTTTTTCCATTTCATTTTGTTAAAAATGAAACTTAATTTATTTAGTAAGAGCAAGCTAAGTGTCTACCTAAAACGTTGAGATCTCACCCTTCTTCACTGCAAAAATCTTTGAGGGCCTAGGACTTGAGAAATGGCAGGGAGAGACCAGAGAGGCTAGAACTGGGAATTAGATTAGAATCGATTTTAAGTGGTATTAGCCAGTGGTTAATACACAGAGAGGAGATGTGTCAGTACCAAAACTCCAGTAGAGATGGGCAATCGATCAATTAAGTCCCAAACACTTAATATTGATTCTAATCTAACTGAACAGAGATGTAATTATGCAGGAAGGAATAGTAAGAATCAGAGTATAAGTTAACAGATTGGTTTTACAAAACACATTCAATATGGAGACGACGAAGAGCTAGGAGTTGGAATTATAATAAGACAAACAAGAATAAGGACAAGAGAAAAATAGCTTTCATTTATTAACTGCCCTGCATACCAGTCTCTAAAAGACGTGGAGCAGCATTTCCATACAGACAAAGAATCTTCATTCACTGGGTCCAACAAGGGTCCAACAACACATTCCATGCTGGGCTCCCCACTGTATTTCACTCTTGCTGAATGACACGCAACCTCTTTTGAAGCCTCCAGTGATTAGGAATGTCCTATCTCCTGAGATAGCCCATTCTCTTCTGGAAGTCAGGCAGCCTTGGTTTTGAATTCAGGCTCTCATTGACTAACTGGGCAAGTTCCTTCCCCTTTATGACCTCAGTTTTGTTATCTGAAAAATGGAGCCAATACTTAAACTGAAGAGTTGTTGATCAGATTAAATATGAAATAAATGGTAGCATCTGCTATCATCATTGTCATCACCACCATACTATTAATTTTTTTAATAACCAAAGTCTAACCATTGGCAGACCAAAAGCAAGACTGATTTGATACTGAACCGACTTCTTACCCAGGGCCAGCACTAGATTTGCTATTTGGGATGGGGTGGGATTACAGACTAATTTCACAGGTAGAGACAAACAAGCTTTCCTGTTAGAGAAAGGAGACATAGAAACTGTAACCCGTTTCTTCCTGACAAGAACTTAGAACAATCTTTGGGTAGCTACATCTTTGAAGATTTTCTCATCAAGGCAACATTATGGAGGTTTATCCCCTCGTACCCATGAACACAGGGTGTTCGGTTTCTTTTTGGGAAGTCACTGGAGAGTTTCTATTTCTAGTATTTTTAACATAGTTCTAGCCCTCCATATAGATTTCTGAGTTCCCTGCTAGTTTTCTCCTATGCAGAAGTACTTTTATTATTTGTATCAAATAGAAAAGGTAAGTCGAAACCAAGAATATACTGCTGTTTACCCTCCTGGAAACAGAATGTATTTCAAAAAGCAAGGGAATAGAGAGGAAAGAGGTGCTGCCTAGATAGCTATCAGGAGACTGGGCAGCTCTGCTACCAACACAGACCTAAGATGAGTCCCTTAACTTCCCTCAGTTTGTCTCAACCACAGTTTTCTCATGGGAGTGTTAGACACGATGATTGCTCACCCTTGTGGGTGGATCTGAAGTTCGCCGGTAACACTTCAGCAGTAATCCTGGTGAGCAAGCTCATATCACTGTAGGTAGCTGGCTAAAACATTTCTTCCTGTTCATGGCTGTAAATATATAGTATTTTATTGCCACCCCTCTCTTATCTCAATTTTCCCCGTTCTTTAACTCTTTCTTTTTTTTTTCTATTACCCTTACATTTTATTTATTTACTTATTTTTTATTTTTATTTTACTTCAAGTTCTGGGATACATGTGCTAAACGTGCAGGCTTGTTATATAGGTATACATGTACCATGGTGGTTTGCTGCACCTATCAACCTGTCATGTAGGTTTTAAGCCCTGTGTGCATTGTTTGTCCTAATGCTGTCCCTCCCCTTGTCCCCCACCCCCAACAGGCCCAGGTGTGTGATGTTCCCCTCCCTGTGTGTTCTCATTGTTCAGCTCCCACTTATGAGTGAGGAAATGTGGTGTTTAACTCTGTCTCTAAACAATTAGTTTGATCCTGGTCTTTCTGTAGCCTCCTTTGTATTATCTGAAAAGTTTTGTAAGTTGATAAGCTGCCCATTTTCCTTAGATGCTAAGCATCCATTGTGGTCCTTATCTGTGACATGTCTGAACTCATGGCTTTCTAGGCCTTAGTTGTTGGGCAGAAACCCCGATGAGAAGACTTCAGAAAAGAGATGTTTCATGGAAAGGATTGGAGACACTTTTGTTGTTGTTGTTTGTTTGTTTGTTTTTTACCTAACATGTGGACTCTCTCTGAACTAAATGCACTCAGTGATCAAAGTTGATTTGGTTTGGTTGATTTTGAAACAAATTGAGGAATGATTTCAGAATCTCCTAAAGTTACTTATGGCCGGGCACGGTGGCTCAAGCCTGTAATCCCAGCACTTTGGCAGGCCGAGATGGGCGGATCACGAGGTCAGGAGATCGAGACCATCCTGGCTAACACGGTGAAACCCCATCTCTACTAAAAAATACAAAAAACTAGCTGGGCGAGGTGGCGTGCGTCTGTAGTCCCAGCTACTTGGGAGGCTGAGGCAGGAGAATGGCGTAAACCCAGGAGGCGGAGCTTGGGTGACTCCAGCCCGGGCGACAGAGCGAGACTCTGTCTCAAAAAAAAAAAAAAAAGAAAAGAAAAAAAAACGTTACTTATGTCAGGATGCACATGTGTAGTTTCTTCTGCAGATGAAAGTTATACCCACTTAGATGTGCAGAGTACTTCCAGCACAGAGGAGCTTAAGTGATGCTTCTCAGGTGACAGTGGGTGGCCTGGCTGCATCAGAATCCCGTCGGGGAGCGCCGTGTAACGTGGAGGGCTAGGCTCTCCCAGGAGGTTCGGACCAAGTAGGGAAGGGATGGAATTGTGGCCGAACAGTCTCTATTTTTAATTTGGATGATGTTAATATAATGCAGCTAGGTTTGGGCATTGCTTATCAAGATGTATTTTAATTGTAAGTTTGTAAGTCTCTTTTCCTACCCAACTTTGCTTCTTTATATAATTATCATCAGTGCTTAGCTCTACACTGGCCACATAAGTCTTAAATTAATATTGGGTGGTTATTAAATAGGTGCTTTACTTAAAAGAAAGTCAGTAAATAACTTGTAGGCTTAAGGCTAATATATTTTTTAACCTAAGTTGTACCCGTTTGCTCACTCTTTTCTCCTCTTCTGTTGTCTCCTTAGCATGCTCATCAATTTGGAAGGAATTTGGCTCCGTGGGACATTGTAATGTGCACAGACATTTCCAAGGAAATTCTAAACAGTCACCCTTCCCTCTTGCATTCCCCCAAATCTTAAGTGTATACATAAAACCCTGGGTACATATTGTTGTGGTAATAGAAGGGAATTAGTTAAACAGTACACTTTATGGAACTTTCTGTGGCCCCCTATGAAAGACAGGTTAACAAACTGTCATGGAGGCTGCTGTTGCCTAGCCAGGGCTGCTGCATTTTGACATTTCCACCGTGGCCACTCAACACATTTCATGGAGGTCATGTCTTTTCACTGATACTTTTTGATAGTTTTTATATAACAAAATCCTTATTCTATTTATAACTTAAGATGATAAGGCACTATAAATGAATGACCTAAAATAATATATTTGTCTGTTATCTTTCGCTATTTCTACTTCACTTTAATTTTTAGCTGTAAAATTGGTAAATGGATTCTTACAACTATCTCTTTCTGTTTTTTACTATTTGGTTTTCAAATTTCATTTAAATGTCAGAATTTCCTTTTTAGGAACAATGTGTATTTCATTGCAATATTTAAAAATAAACTCAAATTTGCATGCCATATGCACATTTTGATTACATTTTTATTTTCTTTCATGAAAGGCATGTGCAACTACAAATACTTCATAGCCATTGCGTTGCTCATTCTATGTCACGGTGTCTCTTCATTATTAGTTCTCTAGCTGTTTTGAAGGACTTGGTGATGGATGGTTAGTGGGATATCTGGAAATTAATTTGATAATGATTTGTGTATCTACGTAGTACTGCAATGTAAATTACTCAATTTCCCAATGTATTTCAACAATTAAAACATTTTTATCCCTCTTCACTTACATTACTTATTTTTCAAAGAACACTTAGAAGTCATACATGGCATTGTGATGTATAGATACATTATATAAATATATAAGGATAATGTATAAACAGATTACTATGAAAAACCAAGTTTTTCACAGGAAGAAAGACATTATCTTATATATTTGGTCTATATGACAACCACAGGGACATCAAATTATCAAATTGATAAAAAATATCAAAGCTAAGAATTACTAAGAAATTATCCTGATACACACATTCCTGTCTCATGTTTGTAAGTCCATAATGGTATTTAGGTGGAATATCAGCAGTTTGACCTATTAGGGATAACAGATAGATTGACTTTTTTTTTTTTTTTTTAGATGGAGGCTTGCTCTGTTGCCCAGGCTGGAGTGCCATGGTGTGATCTTGACTGTCTGCAATCTCTGCCTCCTGGGTTCAAGCGATTCTCCTGCCTTAGCCTCCCAAGTAGCTGGGACTACAGGTGTGCACCACCACGCCCGGCTAATTTTTTGTATTTTTAGTAGACACAGGGTTTCACCATGTTGGCCAGGCTGGTCTTGAACTCCTGACCTCAGGTGATTCACCTGCCTCGGCCTCCCAGAGTGCCGGGATTATAGGTGTGATCACTGCACCTGGCCATATTGACTTTTAAAAAACTTTTAATTTTGAAATAATCTTAGATTCATAGAAGCACGTAAAGATTATACGAAGAGTTCCTGTATGCGCTTAACCCAGCTACTTCTAATGCTAATCTTACATGACCACAGTACCTTTGTCAGAAGAAATTAAACATAGGTACAACATGGTAAACTACAGCCTTTAATTGGATTCCATCAGTTTTTCTACTAATGTCCTTTTCGTTTGTTTCAGGATCAAATCCAAGATTCCATTGCATTCTGTTGCACTTGATCATCCTGTCTCCTTATTCTCCATTTGTCTCCTTAGTCTCCCCTTCCTGGTACTTTCTTCATCTTTCCTTGTTTTTCCTGACCTTGCCACTTTTTTAGCCTGCTGATTAGATATTTTGTAGTGCATTTAATTTGAATTTGTCTGTTCTCTTATGATTGGACTGGGGTTGTAGATTTTTAGGAAGAGGTATTAGCCAGGTGTGGTGGCACACACCTACAGTCCCAGCTACTCTGGAGGCTGAGGTGGGAGGATTGCATGAGCCCAGGAGTTTGAGGCTGCAGTGAGCTATGATTGCACCACTGCACTCCATCCTGGGCCACAGAACAAGACCCTGTCTCTGGAACAAAGATTGTTGGGAAGAGGACCACAGAGGTAAAGTGGCCCCCTCATTGGATCATATCATTATATCTCATGATCTCAACATGACTTATTACTGCTGTTATTAGCCTTTGTCGCTTGACTAGGTGATATCTGGCAGCTTTCTCTTTGATAAAGTTTCAAGTTTTTTTCTTTCTTTTTTTTTTTTTAATTTTGGAGATGGGCTTGCTGTGTTGCCCAGGCTGGAGTGCAGTGGCACGATCACAGCTCACTGCAGCCTCCAACTCCTTGACTCAGGCAATCCTCTCACCTCAGCCTTCTGAGTAGCTGGGACTAGAGGTGCATGCCACCATGTCCAGCTAATTAAATTTTTTTTTTTTTTTGGTAGAGGTGGGGTTTCTCTCTGTTGCCCAGGCTATTCTTGAACTTCTGGCCTCAAGCAGTCCTCCTGCCTTGTCCTCCCAAAGTGCTGAGATTACAGGCGTGAGCCACCGCACCTGGCCTCTAGTTTTCCATTTTCATCCCCTGTTCCTTATAAGTGATAAGTGAACCACTAAGTTGAGACCACACTCAAGGACAGGGGAATTAAGCTTCACCTCCTGGAGAAAAGAGTATCAAGGAATTTTTGGGCTCTTTTAAAGGCACTGTGGTAATTAATAAGTAATTTGGAGAAGATAGTTTAAGACCCTGCAAATACCCTGTTTCTCCTTAGAGTTTTGGCCACTAATTTTCAGGTTCATCCTTGGGTCTTGTTGGCAGCATCTGTTGTGTGGCATAAAAATGTGACTTTCTATTTCCCTCGTTCCTCTACCTGTGTTATTTGGAATTCTTCTCTAAGGAACATTTGTCCCTTTTCCCCCCATTTACTTACTTATTCAGTAATTCATTTGCATCAGTATGGGCTTTTGGATATTTATTTTCTCCTTTAGGTTATAATCCAATACTCTTGCTATTTTTTTTTGCTCAAATTGTTCCAGCTTTGGCCTCTGGGAGCTTTTTCAGGTTGGTTCTGACATGCCCCATCCTCCCCCGCGACCTCCACCTGCTCCACCTTTGGTTGATTTTTAGTAACAAGCAGGCCTCTAAAATAAAAATCCAATTCAAAAGTTTGTTTAAAACACATTCCTAAAACTTCATCACATTTCATCATAACTGAATAGTAATTTCCATATTGTGATAAGTCTTGGCATTTTCCTTCAACTAGACATTCTTTAAATTTAGAACCTTGTGATTCTCACTTGCCACCCACTTAACCTATATCTTAAAGCTAATGACTATAATTTTTATTAAGTACTGCAAGAAACTTGAGTGAATAACTCAGAGAAGAATAAATAACATTAAAACATTTCAGAAGAAAAGTGAGATGGATAAAGCCTTAAAAATGCCTGAAATTTAGAGTTAATGCCTTTTCAAACAGCATATGGTTTCTTTGCAAGATTATTATTGAAAAATACAATGAAGATTCTGAGATTTTCTGATTAATAAGATTGAATAAAAAAGGTTTTCTTAAACCTTCTAAACTGCAAGGCACTCATTGCTAGACTCAGTTAAAGAAGACAGCTGTAATTTAGTTTTGGAGAAACTGCTTGGAACTCTGGAATGTGGAAAACTCTGGTTTTGACAAGCGCGGCTGACTTCTGGGGTGCTATTGAAGAATGCTGGCCTGTTGGTAAGTGATCTGGACTAGGCTCCGGGGAGAGAGGCAACATGCTAGAAGGCACTAAGTTAATACAATGGGGAGTTGCCTTTCTGGTTTTTTGAATTGTTAAGAGTTTGAAGAGGGAGAGAAAACAGGTGTAGTCTTGCAAATGGGAGCTAGTGTATCTGTACTATATCCATGCCCAAGAGTGGGAAGAATTTCTGATGTGGAAAAGTTAAGTAAGGAACTCATTCCCAGGAAGATAGTTTGCATTTTATTTACTTATTTACATATTCTTAATGCAACTGATCAAGTCAAGCAGTACAGAAGGATGAGGTGCTTTTCATAGGTTATGTCCCAGTACCTAACTCTGATTTTCAGTTGTTTCCCAGCCATCACCAGTTGAGTTCTTGCTGTGCGCCTGATGGGCAGTGGTTACTGGGGTACAGCTGAAAGACCCAATCCATGCACTCAAGGCTCTTCAGATGAGTGGTGGATACCTTGGGTAGCCTGTAAGGAACATCTAGAGCAGTGGCTGGGGCTGGTGTAGATTACTTTGGGACCACAGAGCAGGACGCCTAAGTCAGAATGGTGGACGAAGGAAGACTTCCCAGAGGGCAGTCCCTGGTGCAGAGCCATAGGGAGGGTGTGAGTTTGCCAGCATAGGTCAAGGAAGAAAGCAGCTTCAGGCTGAGAACCACAGGTGCAGACACCCCTGGAACGCCCTTGGCATAACCTGGGAACTGCTAGGAGTTGAGCCTGGCTGGGTGGGAGGTGAAGGTAACGGGATGGGAGAGGCAGGCAAGGTGAGCTTGCGTGGAGCCTGGAGGGTCACCTTTGAACTGAAGCCTGTGGGAAGCCACTGGGGAATGAAGCTGTCATGGAGCTCGGGTGCTTAAGGGCCGTCCTGACTGGTCTCGGTTTCCCCTCCAGTGCCTGGTTTGTGGGTCTGTCTCTGTAGTAGGCATGATAAGTACTTGTAGTATTTTCCGTGTTTTATGAAGGTGAAGCTTTCCCATTTGATCTATAATGTTATACAAACTACTTGGAGTTTTCAGGTACATCATGGCCGGTAGATGTAGCCAGGCAATGAGTGTGTCAGGAACATTCCATTAGGGCAGGGCCATGCCTATCCCAGCACCAGGTATAATCACCAGCAGCTTAGTTTAGGTTTGTGACAATGTTGGGGTTATCCTGTTGCTTCACATATTTCTCCCATGTCTTTTTTTTTTTTTTTTTTTTGAGACAGAGTCTTATTCTGTTGCCCAGGCTGGAGTGCAGTGGCGTGATCTCGGCTCACTGCAACCTCCACCTCCCTGGTTCAAGCAATCCTCCCACCTCAGCCTCCCAAGTAGCTAGGATTACAGGTGTTCACCACCATGCCCAGCTAATTTTTTTATTTTTATTTTTAGTAGAGACGGGGTTTCACCATGTTGGCCAGGCTGGTCTCAAACTCCTGACTTCAAGCAATCCACCCACCTCGGCTTCCCAAGTAGCTGGGATCACAGGTGTACGCCATCATGCTCGGCTTCCTATGTCTTTTTTCACAAAAGTATTCCATTAAGACAAATTTCTGGCTGGGTGCGGTGGCTCACGGCTATAATCCCAGCACTTTGGGAGGCTGAGGCGGGCATATCATGAGGCCAGGAGTTCAAGACCAGCCTGGCTAATGTGGCGAAACCCTGTCTCTACTAAAAATACAAAAATTAGCCAGGTGTGGTGGCATGTGCCTGTAGTCCCAGCTACTCGGGAGGCTGAGGCAGGAGAATCACTTGAACTCGGGAGGCGGGGATTGCAGTGAGCCGAGACTGTGCCATTGCACTCCAGCCTGGGTGACAGAGTGAGACTCCATCTCAAAAAAAAAAAAAAAAGACAAATTTATTTCTCCATTAGTGGAGTCTCTAACACTTAGATAATGTAGCACTCAATTATATAATTTCTTATTCTCCAAATATTTAATATTAAAATACTGCAGACTCCTTAGAAGGCAGGGGCTTTGTATATTCTTTTTTATTTTTATATTTAAGCCTTAGGGACCCACCATGAAGAAAAGGCCTTGTATTTGTGTAAAAGTGAAATAATTTGTGACTTTCTCCCCAGACACAGACCTTCTGGGCATCTACAGTGTCATCTCTCTTAAGAGC